AAGAACATTTTTTTCTTCAAAATCCTAAAAGATCCGAACTAGCTTATTTGCAGGAAAAACACCATGACACCAACAAATGACACAAATTGTCTAACCGGACAATGAAAAGTGTAGTTCAAGGCACAACACACTCGCTTTATATTTACATTCTCTATTTTCAAGTAAAAAGTTTCCACAGTAGAAAACCTGGGTAGTTCGAATTGAATAAATGAGAACAAAATATTTCGGGTTTGATACATCAAACGATCCCTGTTTTAAAAAATAAAATCCGTTTAGATTAGAGTGTAATTAACAGAAAAAAAATATGGATAACAATGCAAACTTTCTTACACAAGATTAAAAAGTGTAGTTCACACCAGAACACAATCGCTTTATATTTACATTTTAAAGGCTCAAATAAAAACCTTCCACAGTAGAAAACCTGGCTAGTTAAAGCTGAATAAATGAGAACAAAATACTTCAGGTTTGAGAAATCGAACGATCCCTATTGAAAATACAAAATCTGCTTAAATTAGAGTGTAATTAACAGAATAAAACTTGTATATCAACGCAATCTTTCTTACACGAGATTAAAAAGTGTAGTTCACAGCAGAACATAATAGCTTGATATTTACTTTGTAAAGGTTCAAATCAAAAGTTTCCACAGTAGAAAACCTGGGTGGTTAAAGTTGAATAAATGAGAGCAAAATATTTCGGGTTTAATACATCGAACAATCCCTATTGAAAATACAGAATCCGTTTAAATTAGAGTGTAATTAACAGGAAAACATGTATAACAATGCAAACTTTCTTACACGAGATTAATAAGTGTAGTTCACAGCAGAACACAATCGCTTTATATTTACAATTTAAATTTTCAAATAGAAAGCTTTCACAGTAGAAAACCTGGCAAGTTGAAGTTGAATAAATGAGAGCAAAATATTTTGGGTTTGATACATCAAACGATCCCTGTTAAAGAAATAAAATCCGTTTAAATCAGAGTGTAATTAGCAGAAAAAAAAACATGGATTACAACGCTAACTTTCTTACACGAGATTAAAAAGTGTGGTTCACAGTAGAACACAATCGCTTTATATTTACATTGTAAAGGTTCAAATTAAAAGTTTCCACAGTAGAAAACCTGGGTAGTTAGAATTGAATAAATGAGAGCAAAATATTCCGGGTTTGATACATCAAACGATCCCTGTTTGAAAAAATAAAATCCGTTTAGATTAGAGTGTAATTAACAGAAAAAAAAATGGATAACAACGCAAACTTTCTTACACGAGATTAAAAAGTGTAGTTCACAGCAGAACTCAATCGCTTTATATTTACATTTTAAAGGCTCAAATAAAAACCTTCCACAGTAGAAAACCTGGCTAGTTAAAGTTGAATAAATGCGAACAAAATACTTCAGGTTTGAGAAATCGAACGATCCCTATTGAAAATACAAAATCCGTTTAAATTATAGTGTAATTAACAGAAAAACATGTATAACAACGCAAACTTTCTTACACGAGATTAAAAAGTGTAGTTCACAGCAGAACACAATCGCTTTATATTTCCATTTTAAAGGTTCAAAGAAAAGTCTCCACAGTAGAGAACCTGGCAAGTTGAAATTGAATAAATGAGAGCAAAATACTTCAGGTTTGATACATCGAACGATCCCTATTAAAAATACAAAATCCGCTTAAATTAGAGTGGAATTAACAGG